AAAGGTCCATATTGTATGCAGAGATTACAAGCATGGTATGCGGAAAGGGAGAGAATGCAATATGTTGAAAACTACAGGATCTCCCGTATGTGTTGGACAGTATGTTGAGCAAGTATGCTTATATAGATATGATGGCTGGAGACAGCGAGTAGAGTCAGCATACCCTTTCCCAAAAATAATCAAGTAGGCAAGCACTGGAAATTCAAGGCAATATTTCTCAAAGGCTGGCCTTTATTAGAGAGCTAGCATCAGAACTGCCTGAGATATCCTGGAGTATCACTTTGGTGCAAACATTGAAAAGCGACCAAGCTAACTTGAGCAAAAAGTTGATAGTTGAAAAGATATTTGGGCAAGTAGGAATGGAGTTCTAGAATTGAGAGGAACCTGAGGGACCAGGTAGTTACCAAGAAAACTCTGCCACCAATAAGCAGAAAGCACCCTCTTGTTTGGAATGGGACGCCATTGGTGAGGGTTTATAGCATTTCCACTTGTTCCCTCAATCGAAAGTCAAAGTCTTGAGAGAGGGCATGTGATTGGCTAAAAGCTTAGGTCACGTTGTCATAGTCACTTGACCACCAATGATGTTGAAGGGTGTGCTCTACAGAGTGGAAGCCTGGGAATTGTCCTCCTACCAAGCTCATAATTTATTTATTTCCTCCAACTAGAAGTGGGTTAATTTTAGGTCAGGGAATGAATGACAGGCAGCTATAAAGTAACAATTAGATCTTGCTCTACCTAACCAAAGTGCGTTGAATAGAATTACGATGCCAGGCTACACCAATGTTATGAATCAAAATCTCAGAGTGTGGGCGCCTGGCATTGTCTGCTTTGAATAGACTCTCCAGGTGAGACTTTGCCACAAAATGCGCGCGCAATGGGACATTGTGGGGAAAGGTGTGGATGGGCATGATTAACATGCATGCTGCAAAATTGTAGTACAAAGTCAGCCCTTCCTGTTATGTCATGGGATTCTGCATCTGTGGGACTTCAATCAACCAGGTAAATTGAATAATTGATTCTAAAACAAAAATAGATGGTTGCACGGTGTTGAAGCAGTTATAGCAACGACTTTTTTCGCTGCATTATTCCCAAAACACAACAGTATGAACTATTACACAGCATTTACATGTATATTAAATGTATATAAGAGTTACAGAGAGGTTATACGAAGAGGATGTGTCGTCAGGTTATATGAAAAAATG